GCACGTCTCTCAGTTGTCATCCTGAATGGAAGATCAACTTGCCTCGATGCCTGACTCACTCCCAGGACCAAATATGCAGCCGTGTAACCTGCTGTCACACATTTCTTCACTGGCCGGCAATTCCCTTTGATAAATAAAGCAGTTGCCTTGAACTTTGCCAAAGCAAATATCCACACAAAGGCATCATATTGCAAATGCAAATTCTGGAGGTACCTGGTGATGCAGCACAGAGGGACACAGAGCGGGGGGTGGGGGGTGGGGAAGCAGAGCATCAAGTCTTTTGCTCCAGAAACTCACAACCTGTAAGCTGAGAACAAACCTTAGCTGCATGTTGCGTTTTGTTTGACAGTGAAAACCCCACAATCCCTTTTTCGGGCATAATGCTAAGTCAGGATTCTGTGTTTTCTTCCCTCCAGACTGGAAAGATGCAATCACAACTGTTAAGTTGTGGGTGAACATATCAGACGACACAGCAATTCTTCAGACAGCCCTTGTTTATTCACAGGCCAGAACAGAACTGAGCTGAAGGGTTCAGCCAGCCTGCTTATATAGAGCTCAACTACAACGCAACAGTAACAACTTTCTGTAATAATCCAATCACTGAACGTCACTTTCAATTCCTTATTTGCATATGCGGACCTGAGTGAAAACTATCTACAATATCCCCCTGCTGGCCCAGTGTGAGAACTTCAGTACATAACAACAACAAACCATTACCTGTGATTTACTGCAGGGCTGAGGCCAGACAGGTGAGGCTCTTTTGGCTGGTGGGCGGGGTAACATGCTACAAGTCACATGGTTCAAGTCCCCACTTGAGTCTTCCTTTGCAGCCCTCCAATGGCGAACTTGGGGCTTTCAAATAACAGTGGCCCCCTGTGTGACACCAAAATCCAGCAACTTCCCTCCCCTCGTCTTCTTTTCTGCATTATTCTTGAGGTGCCCTCTCAGCTCAGCTCCCCTAAATCCGCCGCTGAGCCTGGTTTACATTCCAGCTACAGTGCCAATGATTCCTGCCCCACCTTTGACAGGGATCAGCTCTGCTTGGGCACTTCAGTCAGGCTTGCGATCAGCAGGGATTGGGGCCACTCAGCTCCGATCAGGAACTTCCAAGCAGAACCATTATAATTTTTAATAATAAAAATTTTATTATTTATATGCTGCCCATCTTGACTGGGTTGCCCCAGCCATTTTGGGCAGTTGCCAACAAAACATTAAAAATACAAAATTCCCAGCAGGGCTCACATTTGCCACCAGATTCATTATTTTGTTTATTAAATTTGTATACCGCCTTTCGTCCGAAGATCACAGCGTAGTTCACAACATTTAAAGGGCAGCAGCCACAAATCCCACTTGTGGAAGAACAATCAGGAACACAATGGTTCCCCTGCAGCCACAGCTTTACCTGCCCCACACTTGCCATCAGTTGGGGGCAGGGGTGCCAACTTGAATAAAATATGGGGGGGGGTTCTGGTAAGCCCTACCCCACATAATCTATCACAAACCATTTGAATGGCAATGCCCATTTATTTGGGGGAGTGACGGCCCCTCAAATATTTTATGGGGGGCGCGCGCGAAGGGACCTCAGCTCCTAGGAATTGGCTCCTATGGGTGGGTGGGGGTGGGGGTGGCAGGGGTGTGGGGTGGGAATGGCAGACCAAATTTGGCCACAAACTGGAGGCTCCCTTCTGTGAAGTGTGAACAAGGCCAGGAAGCCTTGAGGAGGTTTTGAACCTTAAATCTCCCTAGGCCAGGCCTGATACTTTAGCCGCTACCCCACAAGCTACTTTTAATACCCACCTTTCCCCACCTTTTGCTCTTAGAATTGTCATTAGGTAGCTGAGGTGGGTGTTAAGTTGTGGGTGAACATATCAGACAACACAGCAATTCTTCAGACAGCTCTTGTTTATTCACAGGCCAGAACAGAACTGAACTGAAGGGTTCAGCCAACTTGCTTATATAGAGCTCAACTACAAAGCAACAGTAACAACTTTCTGTAACTATCCAATCACTGAACGGCACTTTCAATTCCTTATTTGCATATGCGGACCTGAGTGAAAACTATCTACAGTATCCCCCTGCTGGCCCAGGGTGAGACCTTCAGTACATAACAGTGGGTTTGTTTGTTTTTTTAAAGGAAGGTCACATCCTTCAGTACTTTTCAGGCTCTGCAGAACTCTGTGATTCCAAAATGGCAAACCAAAATATAAAACTCGGCACCAGTGGCAACACAGTACAGACGTTCACACACACACTGCAGATCCTCAATGTAACATATCCCCAATGTAACATATTTTACAGATAGATTATACCCGATTCACAGTGCGATCCTAGACACAGTTCAGTTGGTGGGTGTATGATTGCATCCCAAAGCAGTGTTTCTCATCACCTGCAACCAAATTCTATCCCTCTATCACAGATGCTGGTAGCCCACCTTAATATTTCAGAGAGGCTGTTAATTTTACCTTTCTCGTTGTTGTTTTTTTACCTTTCCTGGACTAGATTCAGCCACTCTTATCTGGAAAGCCTAACAACTGCCTTCCAATGCGCAGCATCCCCAATGGGAAGCTTGACTGTCATTACGGATATTTCCCTGCAATGTTGCAGTGTGCAGACAGCGTTGGGCACGTTCTAGGGAGCCCTTGCAGACTCTGCAACTGGCTACCATCCCCTTGCAGAAACTGAAAGTGAATACGCAGATCAGGCTCCAACCTGCAGACCTTCCACTCCAGATAAAACAGGTGCCTTGGCAAAGGAATCGGCAGGAGAAGGTTCATTGAGG